CCTGGTGGAACACTGTTTATTCGCTAAGTTCAGGGCTTTTTTCGGGCTTTATTAGTTTGCTGATACACGCCTAGCCACCCAGATAGCAAAACACAGTTCCGGCTAGATTCTCGCCTGCCGGAGACTTATCTCTTAGAGCACAGACTGACTAATGTTACCTCTGCTGGACCTACTCCGGATGCCTGGACTCACTACCCGATTCCAGCCCGAGTCAATCGAGCCAGATGCGGCGGCCGAGCGAGCCGGTGCTGCCGCATGCGAGCCGGAATCAGCCTGCGATGCCGCGAGTAGGTTATGCGCTGCGGTCCGGAGGTGGCGCGATTGAATATATAAAACCCTCATATTTGTTAACGTTATTACATCCATTTGTGTTGATATGACAGCAAACGCATGCTGAGAAGTTCGGGGGGGCGTGGTTGATTTTACATAAAGCGTTTGGTTGGAAGCTCGACTCTGCTCATTTTCGCGGCTCCTCCTCTGGCTCCATCAGACAGTCCTTCTGCGCATGTCAAGGCTCCAATTTCAGCAGTCTTTTGCGACAGTTTGTGCCCGTCAAGCAGGCGTTTTGCCCTCAAGGCGTTCAATGGGAAAAAGGGCTGTCGCGTCGTCCATATTTTTTACAGTCATTGGTTTGTATCTAATAGTTAATAGCATCTAATAGTTTGGTCTAATCTGTATCTTAAATATGAATAATAATTAAAATAATAGATAACTTCATTATACATATGACCAATATACCATTGTGAAAGCATGTTTGCGCCCAAAATAATAATTCATAGGTTAAAAACAGGCAAATCTAGAGTGCCGACAGACAGCGCAAGTGTTCACAAAACATATTTGGGTCCCACTTTATATTAAGTGTCCTTAACTACTATGTACTTGCATCAAAAATAAATACAATGTACTTACTGTGTTCATAATGTATTTGAGAACACTTGTGGTGCTCCTGAGTTGGGATAGGGGTTGGGTTATGGACAGGTTTGGTGGTCTGGGTAGGTTTAAGGGTGGATTAAGGTGTAGGGAATAGTCAGTAGTGTATTTACAAATGTAATTATAGTAGTTAGTTAATTACAGATGTAACTACATACAGGTATTTAATTAAGCATAAGTACACAATAAACACATGTATTTACCCAATAAGTACATTGTAACAAACTATCAATACAAGTACATATTAGTTAAGGCCACTTAATATAAAGTGAGACCCATATTTCTTTAAGAAAGGTGTAAAAAAAGGTTGTAGATGTCTGTGAAACTAGATGCATAGCTTATGTTTTATTCTACACTTGCTCGCACATGGAAGTTAAACACTAAAATAAAAGATATGTGCAGTATTTCATGGTCATCCATTAATGGGTGCAGGAAAGCAAACCTGTCAACGTTTATTTAATATCACAAATGTTATTGAGAACCACTCGATATCCCTCAAAACACTGAAAACATAATAACCAGTTTAATTAATATATAGATGTAATTGAATTAAATATATGAATTTAGTTCACTGAGGCATATTACCGAATGTAGCCGAAAAAATTTATAAATTTAAACATTTATTCTATGGCTAGAATAAAAGCAGTTTTTAATTTTTTCAAAACCATTAACGTCAAAATTATTAGCCCCTTTAAGCAATATTTTTTGATAGTCTACAGAGCAAACTATTATGTTTAGAAATGTGTTAAAAATCTTCTCTTCATTAAAAATTGGGGGTAAATAAACAGGGGGATTATAATTCAGGGGGGCTTATAATTCTGACTTCAACTGTATATATTAAGGTTTTATTGAGATGGGCTGTGGGTGATGGATGTCTGCATGATTGAGTAGCTTTACTTGGACAGAGGAAAACTAAGATCTGTTTAAAATGATTTAAGACCTACAAGAAAATGTTTGGTGACTTTTTAAAGCCTAAAACTTTGTTTTTTAAATTTAAGACATTTAATGACTTTAAGGCCCCGCGGGGACCCTGATTACAAAATAAACTACTCATTATGATGCAGTCCAGCAGTCAAACTTATAAAAAATATATATTTATTGTTTTTAGTTATAGAAAATAAATCATTTAAAATGTAGAGATTGCACTAGGATAAAACATAGAAAAGAAGCTTGAGCGATGTACAAAACAACACTATAAATAAAAATGAAATAAAAGTAGAAAGGGTGCATTTCAGGACATGGGACCCATGGTTGGAATAGCTTAGGGCCCCAAAAACACTAAATCCACCCCGGTGGTAACAATAATAACTGCTGTGTCCATGCGTCAGCCAGTGTAGTCAATGCAAGCACATTAAATTTCAGATATTGGGCTATTTTTGTTTTCAGTAAAAAGTTCTGAGATTGGAGGAATGCCAGAAGAACTGTATCAGGGACAATTTAATGACTGCTGCTCATATGAATGATCAGGCTCTTCCTGAACCAACGTTTGAGAACCTTTAGTCAAAATAGACATCCTGTATACAGCTTTTTTTATTGAAGAGTCAGCAGGATGAAGTTTAGTGCTCACAGACGTTTTATAGCTGTCTGTTGATTGATGTGAGGGATTCGGCTGTCAAGCTAGAGGACTTTTTTTCACTTTGAATATTTGCTAAGCTTTTTGTTTTCAATAATGGCTATAATATGTGATGGGAAAAATGAGAAGAATGGCATATTGAGAAGACTTAGGTTGATCATGTCAAAAACTAAAGTTTTACAACTGATTAATGAACTTGACTTTCTGTTCTCTACAGAGGCTCAGCTTGTGTTGTGTGAACTGTGAACTTTATGACCACATAAAGGAGAGAGAATGAAACAGCGAAGGAGACGGACAAGTGGAGGGATGCCAGAAGAGCTGTCACTGGGACAGTTTAATGATGGCCGCTTGTATGAATGATTAGGCTCCTCCTGAACCTACATTTTGGAGGTTATTTAGTGTAAACAGAATCTGTATAGAGAGTTTTTTTTTTTACTGAAGAGTCAGCAGGATGAAGTTTTTTGCTGTCTCTTGAATGATGCAAGAGATTGAGCTGTCCAGGTAAAGTTAGGTAGATCATTCCTGCAGAGAGGAGCTGTGAATGTCTGGGGAAATGATTTTATGTCTCTCTGCAAAAATACAGTGTTACTTCAGTTAATCCAGTAACTTATGGAAGAAATGCAAAAGCAAGAATCATTTGAAATGTCATGACATGGATTTCATGCAAGGAGTGACCAATGCTTTAGTTATAAATTTATTTTTGATTTATCTGCAACATGGCTCCAGTCTAAATCTTGTATTAGGAGCACTCTAACCCCTTGCTTAAAATGTCAGGAGAACAATCAAAAAACGTAGGGGCACATCATAAATTGACAAAAAAAAACAACAACAACAACAACACACTTTCTCACTACTATATACAGTTACACTATATACAGTATACTATAATATATAGTTTCTATATAGTACTGAGGAATTGTTTATATATACATCTCTAGAGTTTACAGAGAATGGTCCAAAAAGACAAAACATCCAGTAAGTGGCAATTCTGTGGGAGCAAATGCCTTGTTGATGCCAGAGATCAGAGGAGAATGATTAGACTGGTTTGAGCTGATAGAAAGGGAACAGTAACTCAAATAACCACTCGTTACAACTGAGGTATGCAGAAGAGCATCTCTGAACGTACAACATGTCCAACCTTAAGGCGGATGGGCTACAGCAGCAGAAGACCACACCAGGTGCCACTCCTGTCAGCTAAGAACAGGAAACTGGCTGGTTTCAGGCTGATGGTGGTGGTGTAATGGTGTTGGTGATATTTTCTTGGCACACTTTGGGCCCATTAGTGGCAAAAGAGCCTTGTGTCAACACCACAGCCTACCTGAGTATTGTTGCTGACCATCTCCGTTCCTTTAAGACCACAGTGTACCCATCTTCTGATGGCTAATTCCAGCAAGATAACCGCGTCATAAAGTGTGAATCATCTTAGAATGGTTTCTTGAAGATGACAATGAGTTCACCGTACTGAAATGGCCTCCGCAGTCACCAGATCTCAACCCAATAGAGCACCTTTTGAATGTGGTGGAGCAGAAGATTCGCATCATGGATGTGCAGCCGACAAATCTGCAGCAACTGCGTGATGCTATCATGTCAATATGGACCAAAATCTCTGAGGAATATTTCCAGTACCTTGTAGAATCTATGGCTCGAAGGATTAGGGCAGTTCTGAAGGCAAAAGGGAATCCAACCCGCTACTAGTAAGGTGTACCTAATAAAGTGGCTGGAGAGTGTATATATTTCTCCCCTTCACAGCCAAAAGCTTTGGTAATTTATAGACTAAGCTAAACCAAAGATCTATTCTAATGTCATTGAGATATGCAGTGGAAACAATGCCATCAAGTTCTACAGGTGGCACAAGCACAATATTTAGTAGCTTTGCTGGAATATTAATCATTTAACAAATTTTGTCTCTTAGAAATGTACATTCATTAGTAATTGGAGCTGAAGATCGTTTTTACGATGACATTTGTATGTATCTTTCATACAATTGTAGATCGTGGTAAAACTAGATGTAACTATATGGTGTCTAATGGCATTTGCAACTGAAAAACAGTGTCCTAAGGGGATTTATGGATAAAAAACAAATGCACAACTACAGATAAAACTTAACAATAATAATACTGTAATTACGTTGCATTTCTCGTTTAATATTTGCAAGTAATGTACATTTATATAGCACATTTATTGAGTATTGTCATTCACCCAAAGCATTTCAATACATCAATAAAACAAAACAAAAGAATTAAATGAAAAATTCCTGCCACAATGACATGGTTCCCTTTAGGGTTACTACAATAATCAGTGATGATTTATGACAAATAAATGGATCAGTGTTGTTGAGGATGACAGCTCTGATTCTTATAACTTTAAACTAGTTTATTTACCATTAACCATTCTGTCGTAACAAATGACTTTTTGTGAAATCACATTGCTTACTCCATTTTTAGGTGCATTTATAGTAACAGATGAGTGTTTACCTGATTTAATGTTCATCTCTCACCTGTGTGACTTTGTCTGTGACGTTATGTGTTCGATCCTTGACCTTTGGTGCGATGATGGTTTTCTCGGAGGAATGTGGAGATGATGGCCGCTTGTCATGGTTGGTTTCTGAGAAGTTGAGAGTGATGAGTGGGATCTTGTTGATGGTGCTGTACTTGGTCAGGTTTGAGTCAGACGTGGAGCCCAGGAGGCTGGACTTGATCTGATTAAATGGACCTAAAGAATAAACACACAAATCATAAGCAAGGTGCAACTCTGTTTAATGTAGCAGGAATCACTTTAAAACTGACATCAACACTGAGATTTTCCAGATTAACAGTGGTCAACAACAACAACAACAACATGTAAGTCAACTGCAAACACAAGATACAAAAACAGCAGACGCACAGACGACAGAAACATGCCAATGTTTAAATGAAAGAAGTGAAGCTCTAGCCATACCCCCAGCCATCCAAGAGCGCGACACTAGCCAATGAGAAGAGAGCGAAAGAGAGGGAGGGGGAGCAGAGAATGATTTAACTTAAGGAAAAAAAAGACAGTGAGGTCAGATAGAATCTTGAACCATCTCATTGATGCAAACAGGTCACTTAACTGAAATGGTCCAAACAATCTTATATATTGAAAAAAAAAATGCTACAAGAATCTAAACAATGCATTCTCTTGTACTAAGCATTAACCCTAAAAGAAGACTCCACGTTTTTTTTTAATTGGCACATTTCCATCTCCCCTAGAGCAGGGCTTCCCAAACTTTTCAGCCTGCAACCTCCAAAATAACACTGTCAGTAACTCGAGACCCCCATTTTTCTCGAAGGTGGTTAAAAATATACAAACGTTGCACACACAACTATAGTTATATATGAACATGAGCATATTGACAACACAAAATGCAACAGTTTAATAACCATATACATTTTTTATAGTAATTTATTAATTAAATGTAATGTAATGTAATGTAATGTAATGTAATGTGCATTTATATAGCGCATTTATTGTGTATGGCCATACACCCAAAGCGCTTCACAATCATGAGGGGGGTCTCTCCACACTACCACCAGTGTGCAGCATCCACTTGGATGATGCGACGGCTGCCACAGGACAACAGCGCCAGTGCGCTCACCACACACCAGCTATAGGTGGAGTGGAGAGACAGTGATCGAGCCAATTCGGTGGAAGGGGATGATTGGGAGGCCATGATCGTAAAGGCTGATAGAGGGACTTTGGCCAGGACACCGGGGTTACACCCCTGCTCTTTCACGAGAAGTGCCATGGGATTTTTAATGACCGCAGAGAGTCAGGACCTCGGTTTAACGTCTCATCCGAAAGACGGCGCCCACTGACAGTATAGTGTCCCCTTCACTTTTACTGGGGCATTAGGACTCACACAGACCACGGGTTGAGCGCCCCCTGCTGGCCTCACTAACACCACTTCCAACAGCAACCTAGTGTTCTCTAGTGGTCTCCCATCCAGGTACTAACCAGGCTCAGCCCTGCTTAGCTTCAGTGAGTAACCGGTCTTGGGCTGCAGGGTGATATGGCTGTGGCTAAATGTAATATTAACCTCAAATATCTTATTTTTAATGTATAAGAGTGCCATAAAGGTTGTCAGAAAGTTTTACCTGAACCCATAAGTTTAATGGAAAAAAAAGCTGAAAGATAAAGGATTTTTATTTGTATGTTGTTGTTGTTTCTTTAATGTAACTATTAACTATCTTCTTAGGGTTATTAATAAGATATGTTAATTCTAATAGTTTAATAAATTTTATTTGAGCTTTGGAAATCCCAAAGCGACCCCTCGTCATTGTCCCTTGACCCCCCAGGGGGTCCCGACTTCCGCTTTGGGAACCACTGCCCTAGAGTTAAGTTGAGCTTCACAATTTTTCAATCCATTCCGCTGATATCAGTGTTTGACAGGAGCATTTTTAGCTTAGCTTAGCATAGATCACTGAATCAGATTAGACCATTAGCATCTTGCTCAATGATCTCGCAATATTATGCAGGTGGTCATGTGTTCATTTACATAGCTGGGGACTATTTTCAGGCACTGTGTAAAATCGTTGTACAATGTATGTCATGGAACGGCAACCATGTTCATTGATTATTATGCTAGAACGAGAGTACAGTTCCAAGCCACATCGGCCTAGAAAATTGCCAAACTTTAGAACACAATGTAACAACAGAAGAGTCAAGCTTTCGATAGGACAATTTAATTAGGAATGTATTTTTTGAGCGAGATGCTAACAATCTATTCCAGGGGTGTCCAAACTTGGTCCTGGAGGGCCGATGTCCCGCTAAGTTTAGCGCCAACTTGCTTCAACACACCTGCCAGGAAGTTTATAGTACTGTGCTGTATATCTACTGTAGTAAGAGCTTGATTAGCTGGGTCAGGAGTGTTTGATTAGGGTTGAAGCTAAACGTTCCAGGATACAGCCCTCCAGGACCGAGTTTGGACATCCCTAGTCTAATCATTTTCAATGATCTATGCTAAGCTAAGCTAAAAGTGCTCCCGCCAGCTTGACTAAATGGATTTTAAAAAACTGTAAAACTCAACTGTTTAACACTAGAGGAGTTGTAAAATGAGCATATTTTGAAAAAAAAAAGTGGAGTGTTGTTTTAACATGAGGGTTAGGTTCAGAGAGAAAGGGGAAAATAAAGAAAATGCTGCAAAAGCTTAACTTAGTTCTAAAAGATCAGCTCAAACAATACAGAAAGTGTTTTCTTTCCCATGCACTTTCACATCACGGAAGGCATTACACATGCAAATCTCTCCTCTGTCCCTTTTTTTTCAATTGGTCACACATACACTTCTTTGTAAGTATTTTGAAAGATATTTTGTCACAGTTATTTCAGTTTTTTTAAATAGCATTCAGTGTACGCCTGAGCATGCTTCATACAGGCAGGCAGACAGGCATGTGCAGATAACATCTCTGTTACCTTTAATACTACGGCCATTATCTGAGAAAGCAACAGATCGCGGATGGACAGGGTGAAAGGATAGAAAGACAGTGAAAGGCAGTCAAAAGCATCAGTGATAGGTGAGATCTGTTAGGTTTTAAACTGTGAGTTCAGAGTGAGTAAATAAAAATTCTCATAGTAAATCCTAAAAGTCATTTTGTGTTATGGGAATGCACCCAGATGGAAAGAACTACAGGCATGAATAAGGATTTTGAGTAAATTTAACAGTTATGAATTTGTTATTTTTAATATTTTGAACCTTTTCTAATGTAAAAAGAAGAATAATACATTTTGAATGGTTTTATATCACCTATATTATCAGATACCCTGCCAATATTTGAAAGGATAGTTCACCAAAACATTAAAACTCTGTTATTATTCACTCACCCTCGGTTTGTTCCAAATTAGTTTTAGTTTTTTATGTTCTGTTGACACGCAAACCAAGAATATGAATGTTAGAGACCTGCATAATATTAGTTTTTCTAACTATTGACATCAATGGTTACCAGCTTCCAACATTCTTTAAAAAACGTAAACTTTTCACAAACAAATGCTCCTTTTGGGGTAAACTATCCCTTTAAAAATCTTTCAAAGACCATTTTTTAGGTGAAGTTAGCCTTGTTGTTTCTAGAATATGCTTTAAAGATAATGGTAATAATTGAGAGATGATTCATTTGATGTTTTTTGGTCAATGAACTTTTTAACAACTTTCAACCTCCAAGCTGTTTTTCACATTAACACAAACTGCTTGCACATAGGGCAGATTTCATCTAAAATGTACTTGAATAAATATACTTCATTACAATACTTCAGTGTAAATTTGAGGAAATTATACTAGAGTATCTCATTTCTACATACCTCATATGTCAACTACACTCACCGGCCACTTTATTAGGTAAACGCATATTTTTAATCAGCCAATAACATGGCAACAACTCAATGCATTTAGGCACGTAGACATGGTTAAGACAGTCTGCTGCAGTTCAAACTGAGCATCAGAATGGGGAAGAAAGTTGATTTAAGTGACTTTGAATGTGGCATGGTTGTTGGTGCCAGACGGGCTGGTCTGAGTATTTCAGAAACTTCTTATTTACTGGGATTTTCACGCACAACCATCTTTAGGGTTTACAGAGAATGGTCTGATCAAGAGTGAATATCCAGGGAGTGGCAGTTCTGTTGGAGCAAATGCCTTGTTGATACCAGAGGTCAAAGGAGAATGGCCAGACTGGTTCAAACTGATAGAAAGGCAACAGTAACTCAAATAACCACTCGTTACAACCGAGGTATGCAGAAGACCACACTGGGTACCACTCCTGTCAGCTAAGAACAGGAAACTGAGACTACAATTTGCACAGGCTCACGAGAATTGGTCAATGGAAGATTGAAAAACGTAACCTGGTCTGATGAGTCTCAATTTCTGCTGCGACATTCAGATGGTAGGGTCAGAATTTGGCATGAACAACATGAAAGCATGGATCCATCCTGCCTTGTATCGACGGTTCAGGCTGGTGGTGGTGAAATGGTGTGGAGGACATTTTCTTGGCACACTTTGGGCCCATAAGTACCAACATGTGTCAACACCACAGCCTACCTAAGTACTGTTGTTGACTATGTCCATCCCTTTATGACCACAGTGTATCCATCGACTGATGGCTACTTCCAGCAAGATAACGCGTGATCATGTCATAAAGCACAAATCATCTCAGACTGACTTATTGAACATGACAATGAGTTCACTGTACTCAAATGGCCTCCACAGTCACTAGACTTCAATCCAATAAAGCATCTTTGGGATGTGGTGGAATGGCAGAGGATCTGATGCACATCATGGATGTGCAGCTGACAAATCTGCAGCAACTGCGTGCTGCTATCACGTCGATATGGAGCAAAATCTCTGAGGAATATTTCCAGTACCTTGTAAAACCTATGTCATAAGGGATTAAGGCAGATCTGAAGGCAAAAGGGGGTCCGACACAATACTTGTAAGGTGTACCTAATAGAGTGGCCGGTGAGTGTATATGGTATAAATTTACCAAAGGGACCAATTCCCACTACTAAGCAGTTGTTATTAGCTTGCCTATTATGAACATATTAGCAGTTTGCAGGATCTTACTATACATCCCTAAACCTACTAAACTAAACTACCTTACTAACTATCAATAATCAGCAACTTAGGAGTTCCTTGAGGCAAAAGTTACAGTTAACAGTTTGTTAATAGCGAGAGCTGAACCTTCAAAAAAAGTGGTCTCACTAAATTACCAGTCACATCACGTTCATGTGAATTTTATTGCAATTTACCAGAGCCGATCTTAACTTCAATCTGAAATGTAATTTCACATATAGTCATTTGTCCTTGTGCAGACATATCTCCACAGTCATTTGAGGTCTTTAGCCTAAAGCAGTGCTTTTTAATTAAGTTAAGCTATAGCACCACTTAAAAATGACCGTGACTTGAGTGCAAATATAGGCAGTCCGACAACTACAGTATATTCAGGTGCCAAACAACTTTCAAACCAGCTGGTGATAAATGTAATGTTCAGGTAACACATTTAAAGATATAGGTCACAGTTTAACATCTGCTACTGTATGTCCTACAGCCTTACAAAGTCAAGGCAATGAGAAAATTACTCATTGTAATGAGAGAATCGCCCTGTCTCTTGTTTTTATCAGTCAAGAGTTGGGAAAAAAAAAAACGATTACTTTTACATTTAAATGTTTAAGTACAGTTAAATGTGGAAATTTTACTGATATTGTTGGCTTGATACTTTGACTGATTTAGAACAAATCTGACACAGCACCTACTCTATAATTAAGAATTACTTTTTTTTCCCACAGAAATATCCTACTCATATCTAAAGTAGTAAAGTATGTTTGTTTTTACATATTAAAAAGTTTTAATTATTACCTGTATTAAGATCAGTGAATGGGAAATCCCCACAAAGGAGTCAACGGTGTGTATGCAATACAGTTTGTTTATCTGTTTTTAACTTCTTCCCATTCCAGTTCTTTAGTTTTAGTGAATTTACAAAATAAAGGGCCAGATTTATTCAAATCTAAAGCCAGTACAAACACTCTTTTGCTGTTACAAACTACTAGCAGGATTTACCAAGAACATGCAGTGAAAAATGGATAAACTGGCATTGACACTCAAGGACAAACACAAAATACTCTGAATTAGCAAACCAAAATTGTCTGATCTCACATCAGCTCTGTAGTTTGTGATACAAACACTAGTGGCAAAGATTTTGCACATTTCATTCTCAAAATCACCCAATAATGTTGAAAAATGCAAGCGTCTAATCAGACCTGCCATTATTCATGATATTGACTTTAGTTCATTTCATGCTTCAGAGGTTTTGTTTTGTTTTCCAAACTAAACAAAAAGACTGAACTTGTTTTCACCATTAGCTCATATAAAGGCGATCACAGACGAGTTTTATTTTCCAGTATGCTTCAAAACCAGGATATCAGTTAATGTAATCTGTTAAAATCTCTATTTATAGTTACAGTAAAAAATTACACTTAATGTATAGGAGTTTTATCTAGTTTATTCCTGTTTACATCTGTTATTTCAGATTAAGTGTTGATTTGGCTGCATTTAAAAAACAGAAGCAAGATGAAATGGAATGGGAATCTACAGTTCAGCTTTAATAAATAACAAACAATGTTATATGTAGCCGACCAACTTTAAATTGAGAAAATGACAAATTTACCATGTCAGGTATCTGTTACACATTTTTCTTGTCAATATGTTGATAATTTCGACTAATGACACTAATATATTACACTGTGCATGTGTTTCTCTTTTTAAGACAAAAACAACTTTAATTTGTCATTGCATAGAGAAAAACTTTAAGTATTAAAGTGTTCAAGTTATCATTTGCTCAAGTATTTCAAATAGTATACAGTAATTATTCTTTTATAGAGAGTAGTCACATTGTTGGTTCTATTCTATTAGTTAACTGAATGCTAGCGAGAAAACAGTTAAACAGACCATTTGTAGCGAGGATAAAGAATGAGCCTCCTCCATTCGGCCTTTTTACTTTCTCTTTACTTTACTTTTACTCTTTACTTTACTCCTTTACTTTCGTGGATAAGGAAACAATGTTGTGCACTCCACTGAAGACATCCATTAGTCTACATATTGAATTTTGTTTGTTAAGCGCAAAGATTTGTTTCAAAACTATTTCTAAATGCAGTTCTAAGTTATATCCAAACACACGTTCTTATGCCCCATATAAGAACTGTCTCCAAATGTCTCAATGGCGCAGTCTATTTCAGTTCCTCAAAATAGCAACACGACAATAATGCACCTTGACACACCTCCTTTTTAGACCAGCACACCCATGAGTCGACAAAATGGCGCAAATTGATTTGCTATTTAAACAATGTCGCGCAAAACGTGAAAATTACTGTTGCGCTGGTCTTAAAATAGCAATAAATCGTGCCAAACATGTCTTGTGCCTTATTAAGCAGGGTATTTGATAGGGCCCCAAATGTAACACACTTGAATAGTAACAATTTTTAGTATGCATTTTATATATATTTAATCAGTATACTTGTTGTTATTTATTGTTGTATTGTTGTTTAATTAGTAGTAAATTCTGCTTTGCTTGGCAATAATATTGTTTATATTAGGATGCACTGATACCATTTTTTTTAAACTGATCTGATCTCGATACCAAAATTCTAAGTATCGCCCAATACAGATCCAATCCCGATACTGTGGCGTTTTTTTAAACCATAATTAGTTCTAGTGACAAACTTAAATAATACATCTTCTTTAGTAAAAATAACAGACCTATAGGCCTACAGTGTATGACAGACGACACAATCTAACTAAGAACATGATGTGTGTTGTATGCTACATTATTTGAGCATTGGTTTTGACATTGATATGTTGTGGTCCAGTTTAGGTTATGTTTCCTTTTTCTAATATTAAGATTTTCCTTTGAAACCTGCAATAGGCTATCACTACTGACACTAATCGTTTGTAAAATAACCAGCCTTTTAGCAAAGCCTGATATTTTCCTGCAGGTTTGACGCAGACTAAAATAAACTGTCTGAGGTGAGTTTTACTTAATAATTCCTCGCCAAATCTCACCGTGAGTGAGATGGAATAAGTTCAAAACAAGGTTCTCTTATATTTGCGGACACTGTTAAAACTGAGTGGCAAAAAGGACAAATAAATCAGTCCGTTGAGGATCTGTCCAATGTATTATTGAGCCTTTTCTAATTTAAAGTTTCAAGTAGGCCTACCTTGTGTGTGAAGAGCAGGTAATAACCCCCTCTACTTCAGTGTTGCCAGTTTGATCTGCTGATCTAACAGACAGCGCAACATGATTTCAAAACAGGAATAAACTCCTTGCATTAAATGAAGCCATTTAATGCAAAACTAAACGCATTTCTCCACTGATTATTCAAACTAACAGGAACAAATAGTCTTGGAGAAAGTTTTTTGTGTTGGCATAAACAAATGCGACACTCAGTTTGAAATGTGAATGAATGGAGAACGACTGAAATGCTGCTGCGCGAAGCACTGAACTGAACAGGAATTGAATTACTTGAATATTCATCTGTACTTCACATTAAACTATAGAATGCCTTTAGAACATTTGGGATATAGCAGGCAGGCCTTCATGACAACTTTCTAGTGGCTTATAATAGGCTACCTTCATGGCTTTGTTGTCTTGTAAATTACACAGAATATAGCGCATGCACAAAATTGGATTTGGATCGGTACCAGCTGCTGTCCGATACCTGATCCAGATAAAATATGCGTATTGAACCAATATCGGATCTAAGTATCGGGATCTGTGCATCCATTGTTTTATGGTGCCTCCCCACATGCCTTGAATTGCCCCTAGAGGACAAATAAATTGAATTGAACTGAATTGAAAAGTTGGCTGGTTGTATTTCCATTAGGTGTGGGGAGCAGAAATAGATGCCTATGGACCCATTTCTTTTACCAACTGAACATATTACATTTACACTTTAGGAGTTTACCTTTCAGATTCAACATCTAAGGGAGAAGAGTATTTAAATGAATCACGCAACACGATGAAGGTTTGCTGTTGGTAGATAGCATTGGCCATTAAAGGAATGAGCTGCCGTGACTGTGTTGTGTGCTCTCAGTAGATCCCCCACACTACATTACACTTCCATCTGCGCTTTTTTATAGCATTGCGCTCTCATGCTAATTGAGTAAATCTGGCCCCGAGTTATATGATCTTAAAAACTTTTGGATGTGTGCATACCTTCGCTAGCGTGGCGGTCGCGGTATGTCCTCTGTGTGTGTGTGCTGAGTCCTTCTAAATCTTGTGTAGAAGATGCTCTCCTGAATGTGCACATACTGGCCCGTGATGCTCTCCTGGACGCAGTGGCGAGTGACTCCTGAGGGTCCACACGCTCCCAGGGGCCCCGTGGAGATGAGTGATCCTGTGGCCCTGAGATGGGCGAGCAAGACCCAAGATAACTCTGGCCAATCAGAGCACGGGTGTCGTTTCCGTAGGAGGGGCTACAGCTCTCGCCGGTGGGTGGGTGGAGCTCACGTGGAGAAAGGGACAGAGAAAGAGAGGACGAGCAGGAAGAGTGTTTCTCGTTTTGATCAGCCGAATGGATGGTTACCTCGTCCGGGTCTTCCTGAGGGAGCGATTGCTTGCTGACTCCCAGCATGCTTAGTGGCGCAGGCAGACGAAAACGGAAGAAGCGTCCTTTTTCTGCAAAGAAGAGATGGAGAATGCTTCAGTGGATGCAATATAAAAGGATATGTTTTATTCTTTATTGTTTTCTCTCTCCATTTTGCTGCCCTGCGTTGCCACCCTACACTGTAAAAAGCGATAAGTTGACTTTACTTAAAAAAGAGAGTAAACTAGTTGCCTTATAATTATTAACTAAACCAACCAGGTACATAGTTAAAGAAGCTAAATCAATGAGTTTACGTACTTTTTAAAGTAAAGTAACTAATCGCTTTTCACTGTGTAGGTGGCTGCCTAGTTTGCCTATATATGCACATGCCAGCCCTAAGCTTAAATTAGTTTAAAGGGCACACATATCATGCAAAAGCCACTTTTAGGAGCTGTTTGGACAGAAATGTATATAGGTATAGTGCGTACAGTCATATTGGAGTGATATAAACTAAACAAGTCTGTTTGAATTTCCAGATATTAAACTAGGATCTAAATCCCAGATATTTTGAGGTCCACTGCACCGTGATGTAGCAGTGTGGTTTTCACCACCAACTGATACTGATTAATAGAAGTGTATTATCATAGTGGTCCACCAAGCTGCAGACCGGTACCAGTCCGTGAAACAATTGGTACCGGGCTGCACAAGAAATTGTTAATTATTTCCATTTTATTTTTTATCCGAGTCTGAACGATCTTTTATTTTGAAAAATCTTTTATTTTGAAGAATGACTGTATTCTCTTCCTTACATCTCGGTCACTTGTAAGGGTCCTCCAAATCCTCGATTCGATTACATTTTCGATTCTAAAGGCAGGATTCGATTCGATTTTCGATTATGAATAATTAATTAATGACCAATTAATTATTTGTAGCCTACCGTTTAAACTACCAGACCTGCATGGTCTTTGTTTTACCGATAAACAAATCATACAGTAAATGAATAAAGGCAAGATACACACATAATTACCACCTGTCATTCACTTTTTCTGCGGGACTCGTGAATAGGCAGTGATCTGTGTCATTATAATGGCGTCAGTAAAAAAGACGCACAACCAACAGGAACCAGCCAACAGTATCTGAGGTGTTCGCTAAAATGACCAAGTACAAGTGAGTGAAAGATTGAAGCAGTCCTCTGACTGCCTGGACCTGCTGTCTCAAGCTCATATGGCTGTGTGTGTTTCTGCGTCTGCGTCTGTGTGGTCACGTGATGTTTCAGAGGTAGAGAGGAAGGAGGGCTGCTCAGAAATGCTACTCGCCACTGTGTATGTCAAATCGTTGTCGTTCTAAAATGCCATTTAAAAACAAACACAGTGTAAACAGGGCCTGAGTGTGTACTTTTCGCGAGCGGATTTGCAACGGGGGCGGGCAGAGGATTGCGATACCGGTGTTGTCTATCGGACGAACCGTACGTAAAACGTACATAGCAGAGCTTGCAAAACTGTGTTTTTTGTCGACAACACGAATGTTGTCAACATAACTCACTGGAAATCCGAAATGCTTACACACCGGCGACTTCATTGAAAGAGGAGAGGGTTTAAGCTCTGTCGAAGGGTCTCCTGCTTCTGCAGTTTAACAAGCACTTCAACAAGCCTGTTTTTTTCCCGCTTGGCAAGCCAAGCTGACGTGACATGGGGGCGTGGCAGCATCGACGATTCTATTTTTTGATTCGATAATCGAAATTGAGCATAAATTTCGATCGATTTCGATTAAAAATCGAAATCGTGACACCCCTAGTCACTTGAACACCCAAATTTAACCACGAGTTGCAAAACATCTTCTGACAGCTTTGGAAAGGAAGGACCTGCAAACTGCCAAGGAATAAATCCCATTTGTCAACAAATCAGGTGAAATCAGCATGTCTGTGCAACAAGAACTGCTAGAGATTGCAAATGACGGCGGGTGTTCACATATCGCATCTTTTTTTAGAGTTTGCACATATTCGTTATTTCTAATGGAGGTGCACGGCTGGCATACACGAGTAGTGTAACGCGATTGCACCTTCCAGACGCACCCAGTTGACTGAATGCCACGAGTCACGTGAAAAGAACTGACCAATCAGTTTCATGTTGTGTGAAATAAACACATTTCGGTAGAATATTTATCTCAGAAAAACACAGAACACTCAAACACAGCAATGTTTTGTCAGCTTGTCATCCTCTGAGAAAACGGTTGCTGGTCGGCTAATAACCTACAAACCACCGCCCCCCCATCAAGCGTTGACCGTTCCGCAGTGATAAAAAGGTTGGGGACCACTGTATTATCATGTCCACACGATTTGCAAAAAAAAACTGTGATTAAAAGATTTGTTCCAAATCTCTGTGATCTAACTGCCCCTCAAGATACAGTAAGGCCCAATCCCAATTCTATTTTGTACCCCTACGCGTTCCCCTTCACCTAAGCCATTAAAACCGAGTGTGAAGGGGAAGGGCTTCAAAATTTACCCCTAAGAAATTGGACACCACTACAGCACCTGCACATGTCATCATATGTCATTGCGTTCTCTTGCTTCATATGAGATCAGACGATGGCGAATGCTGTAGAGATTCCAGTTGCGTTATTTTTAGGTATTTATCTTCAGGAAATCACTGAAGGCAAAATTATCATGTTATCATAACAATATAATGTGGCAATAAGAGCGTAACTGTACTGTGCATTTACACAGTAGCCATATTCATCAATGTAAACACACCAAAAAAAAAACATTAACATTATAGCAGACACTGTAAAAAACTCATTTCCAGCCACTAGACTTTTCTGACAGGGTATTCGAGTGTCATCGAGTGACAGTATGTTGTGGGACTGCTATACAGGAGTTATTATAATGGATTATAGATTATTTTACCGTTTTTTTTTTTTAAAAGCATGACGGTAAAACACAAACGCGATTATGAATGTATTAAAACATTTGCTTGTTTGTTGTAAAAATTCATAATAATAATAATAAAAAATACTAATTTGTGGATCTCCTTACTTTCGGGTGTAACTATCCTGCCGTTGTCACTGGTGTATTCTGGGAAACTTTCTTAACCCTTGGTTTCGAATGTGGTCCTGAAAAATCTCTGTTTGAAGGGCAATCTACCCCTTTCCCCACACAGGAATGCGCAAAAAAGGGGTAGGGGTAAAGGGAAGGGAAAGGGGTAGAATTAGGGTTTGGCCTAAGTGGTATACATTGTATTTTTTTATAGCATTTTGAAGTATACTTTTGGAGCTATGTGATTCATAGTCGCTGGAATTCCCACAGCTGCATAGTGTACAGTAACTTAGCTATTATCTCTATACAGCAGCGTATATTAACATGTTTGAAAACATGGGCATCCTGTCACACCTGCTCTGAGTAGATGAGCAAGCCCAGTACAACTTAATAACTTACAACTTAAAAAATAACTATTGAGAAACCTTGTAGTTCACTTTGAACTTTAGTATTCGTGACTGGCTCTCTGTTTCATCTGTCTCTCTCTCTCTCTCTCTCTCTCTCCGTCGTTGCTCTGTATTAATTCCATTTGGAAGAAAACTAAAACCTATAACCACTGACATCTATAGTAGGAAAAAAAAAATACTATGGAAGTCAATGCAGTCCAGCCTCCTTCAAAGAGTCTTCTTCAAAAAAGTCTTCTAGTGTTCAACAAAACGACGGGTTTGGAACAAGTGAAGGGTGAGAAAATGATGACAGAATTTTCAGTTTTTGCGTGAACTATCCCTTTAAGCTCTCCTACTATGCCTTTTCAGACATTACATCTGATGTCGTAACACAGCTCTGTATAAATGTAAAAGTTCCGCACATTTTTAAAGATCAAAGTGTGCAATAAGTTGCTGCCTCCCAAAAGAGAGAACCAATTTGGAACAGCCTGAAACAAGTCATTCCAGTCTTGCTTCTTGCACAAACCCACACAGGTTTCTAGCACATTTGCATAACACCAGCCTATGGTCTAAACTGCCATCTGGTGAACAATGTCTACTCTGATCCCTAAACACTGTAGTTGAATCTAAGAGCTGGAAGAGTTTGATTCGTGTTGTAAAAAAAGACAACACAAAAGCAAACCCACTTTGCATGCACTTCCAAAACATGAAGATTTGTGCTTAAACTGTTAAAATAAAATCAACACAATTATAGTAAAGATTGTCTCACTGTGTAGACGGCATGAAAAACCCTCCAACATGCGCTATTGATAGTTTTCAGTCACGTGACCTATGTGGAAACCTGGTGGGCAAAAAACAATAGGCCATAATGGCAGCTACACTGGGATCTCCATAGAAACACACCACAAACCACTCATATTTCCACCTGTTTCAAGCTAGGAATATTTGGATCACATATCAACAGAATAAAACAGACATGTGATCACAAACTATATTTTGCGATGCATATTTTGCACCTGCAGCTGTTATTCAGTCATTTAAAACCATCATGTTCATTTCAGAGCTGAAATTGGCAGAAATTGAAATTTACATCTGTCTTTTAGGTGTTCATCAATATGAAATATCAGTATCAGCTTTTTTATTGGGTGTCTGCTTGTTTCGCTTGGATTAATATTTGTTGGTAAGGAAAATCTATTTGTTCAGACTTTGTATTTCCGTTTGTACTTTAATTGCACCAAAAGGTCCCGTGAAGTGCTTTGAAATATGCATTTTTTTTCAATGTTTGATGTAACCACAACCGAAACATGAAGAGAGAATAGGACAGTGTAGCCAATAGCGCTTTGTTTGATCACAGCTCTGCCAGTGAGAGTGGTTGAACTCAAGTGCATCAAATGAAAAGCAAATACGAAAAGGGGTGTCTTGAAGGGGGCAGGCAGGGCTGGCGCGTCCATAGAGGCGACCTAGGCGGTCTGTGACACTACCCTCACCACCCGCGCCCTCAGTTATATCCACGTCTAGGGCGGCAGAATAGAGAGGGCGGCGTCTGCGACCTTACCCTCACCACCCGCGCCCTCAGTTATATCCGCGTCTAGGGCGGCAGAATAGAGAGGGCGGCGTCAGGGACACTACCCTCACCACCTGCGCCCTCAATTATATCCGCGTCTAGGGCGGCCGA